TTTTTTCCCTTTTGTGAAGAGGATCTTTCAATACTGTTTATTTATAGGCCAGAAGGATGACAAGCAATTCTTCTGAAACAGCTCTTCTCCACCAAGGAATTGCAAAAAACACCTATTTAGTACACCTGTATTTCTCAAAATCAGTGTGATGTGTTGCCCTGAATTGGTTTAATTCCATTCACTGCTGTCTCTTCTTCATGGTTAGGCTTTGTTTTCTACAATAAAAATGTAATTGTGTTAAGTTGCTTAGTCAGATATTTGTCTTCTTACGTTATGGGCTTAGGTTGCTGTTCAGCAAACATTTTAAGCTGGAAAAACAAGCAAACCTGGCCAGTTCTGCAAACTGATTCCCTGTACAGACTGCAGGAACACTTCTGTCAACACAGGGGAAGAGAAAACACACAGAAGGGAAGGAGCAGCTTGAGCACAAAGGCCTTTTCACTGACCAACACGCATGTGATGCCATAACCTAAAGTTATAATGTCATAACATTGAGGCTTCATGGAATAATTGGTCACAAACGACTGCCAGTAATGGGCTACCTGTTAGAAGTACCAGGAGAGGCAGGAGCAAGAGAGAGAGAACTCCATCTGCTTCAGTATGGGGCTTATGAACACGTGCTGGTAAATCTGGGGTTCTCATGTGTCTGTTGCATGGACGTAAGATAAAATGAAGTACAGGTTGTAGCTGAAATAAAAGGAACCTCTGCAAACTGCTTCTCCATTGAGAAACTTGCTGAGGTTTGAATACGGCCACTCCTGGGTAGCTGAAATATTGAAAGGTGCAGGGCAAGTGGAAGCAGGCTTATAAGAATAAACAGAGATGAATCTTATTCTGCATTTCTTTGATTTTTTTCAGTTCTACTTCTGTGTAAATCAAAGATTTACAATCAAAGGTCAAAGTCTGCCCTCCCAGATGAGGGAGAGCTGTTAGAAAACAGCACCTACAGGATCTGTGAGATAAAAAGTCTTCATGAAACAAAAGGAACTCATCTATTTTCCATATTTTTCCTTACCCATGAAGTTTTATAATTTGTGCTTGAACTAGGTTCCAAATTAAAATTAAATCAAGCTACAGTATAAGCTCTAAGAAAAATTGGAAACAATAATTTTCCTTTGGGAAAATCTGTTATATTTTGAAAATTGACTTACATTGAAAGTGCCTGTCTATGTAGGAGGTGGGTAGCTCTCTACAGATTAAGTGATTATACTTGCCTGAGTGTAAGATGTACTTTTAATACTCAAAATACCTTCCTTTACTCATAACTTTTTATCCTCAAAAAAGCAGAATGGTCAGCGAGAGAGAGAGCAGGATTGAGGAGTCTGTGGTGAGATGAGCATAAAACAGAAATTTTGTGATGGATAAAGGAATAGAAGACTGAGAGAAAAATACAGAGAAGAGGTGGGCAAACAGGTTATATGAAGAAGGGATGAAAAGCAATTGAGGGGGGAGTTGGTGGTAGAGAAAAATAAAATGTTTGTGTGTCCCAGCGTTTGTCTGGCCTTAATGTGCCTGTCTTTCTGGTGATCTTCAGGCTATGCACCAGTCCACAAGCCCCTGGGAATTTAAAAAAAAAAAAAAAAAAAAAAAAAAAAAAAA